GGTCTCACTACACAGCTCAGACTCTTAGTGATCCTCCTGTTTTCAGCCTCTCCAGCACTGGTATTACAGGCATATGCCACCACACTCAGTCCCTGTGGCCAGCTCAGTGTGCCCAGGGGGCCAGGCCGGCATGGTATATGGTGCCAAGGATCTATTCCTGGGCCCTGCACTTGCCTAAGCAAGCACTTAATTTGCTGAATTATCTTGCTGGTCCTAAATTATTAATATTTTTAGGGTAATAATTCTGAACCTTCTTTTGATTTTTGATTTTCCTTTTTTAAGAAGACTGTGTCATTAGATAATACTATACCATGATTCAAAATAAATGTATATTTTCAATGAGAAATTAAGACAACAGATATCTATTATAAAAACAGAAATACACTTACATAGGTTTTCAGGACTACACATGCATATTGCTTATTAGATGTTTGTTTATCTGACTCTTGATTGCTAGACTAATGACACTGAATTTAACATTGTGATTTCTACTTATAAATTAACCCAGCTATAGAATTTTCCTAACACTTCATTCATATAGACAGTCACATGCAATTTTAACTCATAATGTAGCATGAGCACCTCTTCCTAGAGGCTTTGAATAATTAGCAAGGCTAATTCCGAGCCACTAACTGCCCTCTCTACACCACACACACATTTGCTACTCCTAATTTGGTAGTGTGTTTGAATGGGAATTGTGTCACAGTGACATGTTTTCAAGAGACCCTAAAAGTCTTTGGTATATTTAATCATTGCTGCTTCCTCACTTAGGATGTATGTGACACAACTCATTTCCAAACCAAGTAATACAGGTGACCAAGAAGTTTACTTATAAATGTCAGTGATCATGACATTTATCTTAAGACTTAAACAATTTCACAAAAGAAGAACTAAAGGAATAGAAATTATCAATAAGGATTTGAGAAGCTGATTAGGAATAGTGCTATGACAGACCTTTGGATGTGAACAAAGTATACAAACAATAGCAGATTAGTCAACTTAGTCAACTTTGACATTGGACATCTGGACCTCATCTTCATCACTTTGCCCTTTGAAATCTGTATAATTAATCTATGTTTCCCTTGATTGCTGATTCAATGAATCTCATTTGGCTGGTTCAATATTTATTAACTTTCTTATTTAGAATATTGAATGGTATGTCTCTTTCAGGTATGACATTACTTACCAAAATAAAATGCCTGACTTACAAATTATTAGTTTACTTCATTTCCAATTCCATTTAATTTTCCTAGGGTATGGGAACCTATGCACTACTTAATAGAATTTTAGCATAAACATCTTATATCATATGGATCTATGACACTGAAATATACTCTGCTAGAAATAAAATTCTACTTGTTATCTTGAACCTATCTGTAATATATTTTTCAACTAATTGGCTCATTACAGCCTATTAAATGGAACAATCCCTACAAAGAAAAATCTGTTAAAATATAATTTTGACTTAGTACATCATTAAAATTCTCAGGACTAAGAATGACACCAGCACAGTTTCAGCTGGAGAAATCAGCATTCTCTTAGTAGATATAATTTTTAGTGAAGCTTTTTCATATTTCTAGAAGAATATTAATGCCGTGAGAGTAACAGAATTTTGATTACACTGTCACTTTTAAGTTAGATGTAAGTAATTTATCAGATTTGTTTTTTAGTTAATTGGCACAGAAGAAGATATAGAATAAGATCTCACTCTACTGGGAACTTAAAAACAAATTAAAATGTTAGATATAATGAAATCATTAAGAGTTCCAAGACTTGAGAGGTCATCTATCAGTCAAATCATTTTCTTCTGAGAATGTAGGAAGTTAAATCACTCATCTGTGAGTGTGATATGAACCATTTTAAAGACATCCTCAATGAGCTTAGCAACAAGAAGCAAAGCTTAGCAGTTTTCTTGACTGATGAAATCATTCTTCTATATGAATACATCAAACTGAAGATAAAATACTTTGCTATCAGTTTATATGTTGTAAACTGAGGAAAACTTCCATTTCTCTAACTTTTTTACCCAGCGTTCCTTTCAAAGTTGTTATATTTTTGCTTCTAAATTATTTTTTTGAAATATAGCATCACTTGTTTTTTCTTATACTGGGAATTGAACTCAGGATCTTGTACATGCCAGGAAGGTGCTATGCCTCAGAGCTATATCCTAGACACTGCATTAATTTTTAATGCAATCTGTGTCCTGTTTGCTCTTTTGAAGTCTAAATTAGGTACCAACCTGTTAAACTATGTGAGTAGAATTTAGTATAAGAGGATTCGTCACTACCTCATTGTTTTTTATTGTCTGCATGTATAGGAATGAATATGAGTTTTCAAACTCTGTACCCCTCTATTATTGACTTGTCACTATTAAAATAATTAATATCTAAAGTTGTGATTCACCCTAGTGTGTTGTTATCACTTTACCTTGGAAAATTTTCATGAGAATGCATTTGAACATATACAGAAATGATTCATTGGAAGAACTGAACTCACCGTAGGGCTGAAGATGGCGTCATTGATAGAATGCATGTGCCCATAGAGTGACTGCTCACATCTGCCCTAGGGAGATGGAACAGAAACAAAAGAAAGTTCTATTTCATATATGCAAGAAATCAAAAGATCATTTTAAAAAGCTTTAAAGTATTTTAGCACACTAATAAAAGTAACACATTCTTATGATAGAAAATATTAATGTCTTTAAGCACCATTTGGAAGCAGACAGGTGCGATGTGGTACCACAGTGCTGGGAACAACGTAGAAATTCTGCTCGTCTTGCTTTCGTACAGTGAGCAGGTGACACATCCTTGGAAAATGGTTCTACCGCTTGCTTTCAACACAGCATTCTCAATGCTTCTCAACTGGGGCTAGAGATCTTTATTTTTTTCAAAATTATAGGATCAGTTTATTCCACAAATTCCCAAGGTGAGTATTAATATTAACACATGGATAAAAGTGTTCTAAAATATATACAGTGGTATTTTAAAATACAGAATAAGCTTTTGTTTTGTGGAAACTGTATTTCACATTTAACTTCCACTTATCTTTTCTAAAAACATTACAGTTAACTACGAAAAGTTCCAAACTTCAGTTTAAAAGTTTCCAGGAAAGATGTGTCCATAACACATTACAATGAAGGATGATAGGGAAGGCTTTTTTTGATACAAACACTCAAAGAACATTTTTGACTGCATTAAGGAAATAATTCAAATTATTTAGAAGAGGAAAATTACATCTGGAATAGTTTTTCAAATTCCTGTTATGGGCCTTGAAATTTAGGTTTCATTTGGCAAATCATTATTAATTTTTATTCTTTTGGTACCAGGGATTGAACTCAGGACCTTACACTTGCCAGTCAGGTGCTTATGCTGCTGAGCTATCACCCCAGCTTAGCAAATTATTTTTGAGCAATTAATTCATTAAACATAATTCTAAATGCTTAGATAAGCCAGACAAAGAAACACACAACTAATCCTATCCTTTAATAGCAAAAGATAGATATTTTGCTGAGAAAGTATTAAAAATTGTTAAGAGATGGTAAAAGTATAAAAAGAAAATATCTGATAGGGTTATAAATACCAATTTTTTTGAGGGGAAAGTGTCTATAGTGTGTTCAGGGTTTCACTACTAGATTGGATTCATAGTGATCCACCTGTTTACAGCCTCCCAAGAGCTGGGATTACAGGTGGGAACCACCATGCCTAGTCTCAATCGCCTTCTCAGCATTCCCCAGGGGCAGGGCCGGCATGGCAGGCTCAGGGATTGAACCCCTGGCCCCTGCACCTGCTTGCAGGCTCGTTACTCCACTGAGCTGTTTGGCCAGGCCTAAATATCAATAATATTGAAATTGGTGTACTAGGTCTCAGACACTGAGACACACAGTGTATTGCTTTGACATGCTGAGGTGGAAAGCCAGTCTCATAAGCGAGCTCTCTCCAAATTCTCTTTGACTGAAGAAAGAGTTTCTCAAAATAATACAGTTGCTTTTGAATTTCTTGTAGCATCACCATCCCTGGGAGGGAGGACCGATCAATGTTATCTCTTAGAATTTGTCATTGCTACTATCTGTTCTTCATCTTCCAAAAGCAGTCACTTATAAGCTAGTGCCCTTTCTTTGACTGTCATCAATTTTCCTCAAAGTTACTTAATAGCACTTTGAAATTGCTTCCAGCCTCATTCCCCATTTCCTTCTCCTCAGTGAAGGTGGTATTTCGCCTATCTGTCTCTTCTTTCATTTTCATGTTTGCAGAGCCTCCGTACTGAGGCACATTCATAACTGTATGTCTTTCTTTTCTCTGTATATCTTCTATTGTCAGTTCACTTCCTCAGCCTTCAGAGTAGGCACAGGAAGTTTCTCTTATTCCTATAGTGACTAAGGACAAATCACGTAATCGAGCAGAGTGGTCACAAGTTAAGGTCTGAACAAAGACTGTAGGTAAAGGTAGTGAGTGAAGCAGGCAGCTGGAGAAAGAGTATCCCAAGAAGAAAGTAAAGCTAGGGCAAAAACGTCCCCAGTATGCATTTGCCTGACTGCTTCTGAAATAGCTCAGAGGCCAATGCAACTTCAGAGAAGTCAGTTGGGAGGAGAGTAGGTTTACCCAGACAGCTGCATCTTCTATCATTCACAACCTCATATTGAGACTAGAACAGAGATTGCAGGGTGGAAAAAAAACTTACAAAATAAGCTATTAATGAAAAATCATTATGATGGTATCTCATTTTTGTCAGTCATGAAATACTTCTACATTAAGCAAAGTTGGAAAGGCTTTATAGAGCTGAGTTCAACTTAGACCTCAGGATTGCTAATATATTCAGCAAGTTAAATTTTAAATATTATTTATAGAATCAGTGTGCTCTACTCATCAAGTTCTCAGAATGAATAAAATTCCTCAAATAAATTTAAATTTCACACAAAAATACAGGGAAATACTTTGGCCTTCTCTCTGGATACTCCCCACTCCTTGTTACTATGGTTCCATATGTGAATATTGTTGTATCTATAAACTAATTATGCTAAGAACTTCAAATCATACCAATTCCCAAAGCAGAAATAAATTGCTCACAAAAACAGACATAGTGTAAGATGTTATAATTAATATTAATTTTATCCTACAGAGGTTAGTAATTCATTTTCTTTGAGCTCTAATGTACAATGATATAACGCTACATTGTACGGTGTATCTTAGTATTTTTACAAAGTCTTAAATTGGCACCTTTAAGATATTTTTTGCACTAATAAAATTGTTGGGCTTGGCTGTCCTAACTTGTGAATTTCTAAACTGTTTGAGTAATTGGTTAGGAAAATGTAGTTTCCTGATTCCAACCCTGATGCCAAGTCAATTCAGCACGGTCTCCAAGGCACTCCTGAAAAGCCCTGGCCATAAGGGGTTATAATAGAAATGCTGACAGGCACATTTGTGCTGCTGTAACAAAACCTGACTCGAAGATAAACGTTTCATGAATTAAGAAAAGTTAAAAAAAGCTTTTCTATCCAACTTTTTTCCCAAGTTAAAAGTGACTCTACTCTTTTTGAGGCAGGGGAATATGTGGGTTACTAATATTCTAGTCTGCAAACAACTTTCATCGAAAGAAATACCCAAACCAGAACTTTCAAATTTGAAATATCTTATCTAATGAATTCTTGTCAGAATGGTTTCCTTTCAAAGGAATGGAAAAAATTTTAAAGATGAAGAGTTTCCTTTTTTTAAATTGTGATGTGACACAATACACATTTCTTCACTATTTGACTTTCTCAGACAAAGAAGTTGCAATCATGGTTCTAATCACTGGCCTGGGGGGCAGAAATGCCTGGCACTTGATTCCTGGGTCTGCCACCTAAGAGCTGTGTGACCTCAAACAAATTATTTGGTTTCACTTTGCTTCAGTTGCCTATTGTGCACAATGAGGTAATAGTGTTTCACCTTTAGCTTTGTTAGGAGAATTAATTGAGCTAACAATGCATGTGGAATTTTGGTGTGCTAGTAGCACAAAGAAATGCTTAACAAATGCTAGCTCTTAATATCAGAGAAATATAAATACTGAAATGCTGATGGATTTCCAAATCAGCATCTCCACTGGTACTCCTCCACTGAGCTCAAGATCTGAGTATCTGTCTGTTTCCTTACAGGGTCATAGAGGCATCTGTGAGGGTTGCTCTCTACCTGATATTTGCTTCCCATGGGGCCTCTGTGCTCTGCCCGCCCTATCCTCCATTAAGTGTAGCACTAGGCTTCCGGGCCTCTCATTTCTGTTTGGTGTTAGCTAGAAGAAAGCACTTGCAGAAGAGTCACAAGCCAAAGGATCAGAAGATGGGCAATCACCATAGGTGTCTGCCTGTTCAGCTACAGTTGGGCCAGGAGCCTTATTCTCTACAAGATTCCTGCTGCATAGGAAGTATCCCACAGCATGACACACACAGTACTCAGTAAAGCTCTCCTATGCTGCACTTCCAGATCTAAGAGAAACAGTGGCTTCCTGATATTTCAGGGCCTGGTCTATACTTGTGTTGGCTCCCTTAACTCTACCTACTAGGTTTTACAGGAAAAGAAAGTACCAGCATCTGGGTTAAAAAATGATAGAACAGAACAGCACTCTTAAAGAGAGACTCCTGGAGAGATTTAGAAACATCTACAGGCATTTGTTTATAGTCCACAGGGATACAAGCCTAGAGAGCTTCCTCTTATCTGCTGCAGATTTGTTTGCATTTCAGAGAAATCCCTACTCCACCTCACCCCTTCTCATCCCTGGGGGTAAAAAAAAAAACCTGAATTTCATAATTTGATCTTTCTTTTCCATAGTGCATAAGCCCACTATGCACATACGGTATACCTATGATACATCTCACTGTTCTCCCTCAAGTAGATTGTGCGCATGGAAAATAGCAGGCTGATCTGTGAAATGATCTGTAGCTTGAATTCACATTCAGAAGCCTCTTGTTTTCTATCAAGATAAGGAGGAGGACAGGGAGACAGACAGAGACAGAGACAGAGAGACAAAGAGAGACAGAGAGAATGAGTGAGAGAGAGAGAAAGACGGACAGAGACAGAGACAGAGACAGAGATAGAGACAGAGATAGAGACAGAGATAGAGATTTTTAAAAAAGAAAGAGAAGGGAAGGGAAGAAACACAAAGCTAATACACTGACCTTGTTTCTCT